TTTTATAAATATGATAATTATTTAATTGCAAAAAATTCTTATTTATTTTATTAACAAAATCATATTAAAAATTTTGTTAAATAGTGTTCAATATTTTATAAATTAAAATGTATGAAAAATAGGACATTATTTATAATGTTTTAATATATTTGATAAATATTTAATGATAGCGTTTATACATATTTTATATGTGTAATTAAATTAAGATATTTCTATAAATAGTGCATCAATTAGGAAATAAGTACTGCTATGGCTATAGTGTTGCAAATATCAGTCAATACGAGCTCTGAATATGATTAAGAAGATTTCATTGCCGAGTTCTCTGAGGCCGGGCGGCAAAGAATCGGGAAAAGTAGTGAAATACACGCCGTGTAGTACTTCAGGTCGACATCTGGACGACGACTTGGATGAGGTGGCGGTCATCAGTAACGCCGCGCCCGAGAGTATCAGATATGGAAGCGGACAACTGTCCACAGCTAACGGACCCCGTGTTGTGCCCGGAATTATCACTTCTCATTTGGGAGGAGTTAGTATTGTTCAGAGGTATGTCTTTCACACTTATTATTACATTATATTATTATAAAACTCAAAATTGACGTTTTCTGGTTCAATACACTGTTCACTCAAACGGTTAATACAGTTATCAGTTTATTTACCTTTATTTAAATTTTTAATGCATTAAAAAGATTGACATTGCATTGAAAATATTTAATAGATGATGGTCATAATGTCATATTTTTATCGATATATCCAATTAAATGCTAATAAAATTGAGGTTTTATGAATTAATTTTAAATATTGATATTACATAAAAACGGAACTAAAAGTAATTTTTTTTAAATACCACGAAAACATTATTTTATGTCATTTTTCATCAATGAATTTAAGTTTGCATTTTTGTTAATCGGTTGTGAGTTTTATTATATTAAAATATTTGCCAGAAATATCATCATCATTATATTCTGAACTTTGTTTTTGAGAATATAAAACGATTGCACTCAAGTGTATTGTAATTTAAAATAATTTTAAATCCAAATATTATGTTTGAATAACATTATGGCATACATTGCTATACTTTGCATAATATGTTTCGTTTTAATAAATAATTTAGAAATGAAAAATGAGCCAAAATTAACGCTTAACTCAAGAATTTTATTTTAAAAATTAAATGTTTTTTTGTTAATAAAATATTTGGTAAATACTGTACTATTTTTACAATTTTTAGCAATCATTAACATTAGGACTACAGTATATTTTTATTCAACAAAATTTAGTAAAATTGCTTTAATATTAATTACTGTACTGTATATGCATTTTCAGTTGTTTTCAACGAACTTATATACTATAAATGATTTAAGAGCAAAATTGTCACAAACATTATATAAACAACTATTAAATCGTTTTTGGAGATTATGTGAAGCAAATAAATCTCTCGAATCCATCAATCAATCAAATCTATCAAAAGGTCTAAAATTAATTCTTGGGATTCAATTCCTATTGACAGAGATTACAGAGCGATGAGCACTAGTAGTGCATCTGCGAGACCATCGCTATCGCAGATTCAGATCCCGTCAGCGCTGGCGTCGACTAGTATAGTGTCCGCCCGACCCGCGGACGGACACAAACTGAAAGTGAAGTGCGCTTCACGACAATCGCTGATAGACACGGTTACCGGCAAATTCCAGCCCCCGTCCGGTGGTGTCAGCAGTTTGGCCGGAGTCGGAGCTTATATGGGAAATGGTAGGGGAAGTGATACCAAAATTAAACCTCGCGGTTCAATGGCCGGTAAGAGACCTTCAGAGAACAAAAATAACTTGTTTAAAATTTTATTTAACTTTTGAGTTTATTGTGAAACACAAATGTAATATAATATATAATACACTTGCAAAATAAATCCCTGTAAAATGAATTGCCAATGTTTCTAATGGTAGCTTTTACACAAAAATACCAAGAAATTACAGGAAATATCATTAGATATTCCCTCTTGTCTTACGGGGAATGGAAGGGAAATGAAATTTGGAAAAAGTTTAAAGTTTGCAGCATTTATAGTGCATTATTTCGAAATTGTTTTATTGTTAAGAAATTGAATTTAAATTTAAACAATTACAAACACTTCATTTACCAAACATTTATATTTAAATAATTCATACAAAATAATTTGTTAGCACAATCTACATTATATAAGAGTTTTTACTGAGTTCTTACAAAATATTTAAAAGCGTATAAATAATTAATTTTTGTTTTAATTAAAGGACTGATAAATAGAAGTCATTTGAGTTCAGATCTGGAGATTCCGAAGAAAACGCGAGAATTGAGGCGAA